GTATATTGCAGCTAGCGAAGCGGCAAAGGAGGCGTTATGGCTGAGGAACTTCATTGGAGACCTTGGAGTTGTACCAGCTATTAAAGAGCCGATGGAAATTTTCTGTGATAGTGAAAGTGCTGTTGCCTTAGCCAAGGAACCAAGGGATCACGGGAGATCCAGACACATCGACAGAAAATACCATTTCATCAGACATCGGATCGAAGAAGGACTCCTCGTGGCAAAGAGGGTATCATCAGATGAGAATCCGGCAGATCCCCTCACGAAGGGACTGACTCGGGTTAAGCATCTCCAGCATGCTCGGAGCATAGGGCTGAAGGATGATATTAGATTTAGTAGTTAGATAATCTCGAAATTTGTAAAGTGTAATTGACATTTGATGATGAATAAAAGTGTTTTATTTATGAGTAAAGTGTTGCTATCTCTTGTCGATCGTTTACTATATTTCTTTTGCATGTTTTGACTTCCAGAATAATTTTGTTTGGTATAACATATTATTCAAACCTCCACAGTCGGTCATATGTCGGAAGTAGGTATGAATCAAGACTGTCATGTTTGGTTGTAGAGGTCTGGGACAAGGCTACAACAATCATGAGTGCTCATAAGTTCTGAGCATTGGACTCAACCCACGCTCACTGGAATCACTTCATGGAATTCTATCTCGAGTGATCGTGAGACGGTAATATCATATAAGTCTTTAAACCTAGAGATATGATTTGTTACTTACAAGTTGGTTATGCATTGATTGTACGAAAAACGCATTGGTAACTCGATGTTATAAAATCGTGCTCTTGTGTGTAATTCAATGAGTAGTAGAACAAACATATGAGTCGAAGTTTATCTGTTCCTTCTTGGATTAGAAGCTGATATCTGGGCCCCTCGATGATTTTGTTTTGACCTATGTACCGGGCCCGGTCAGAACTAAATTGATGTGTTCAATGAAGTTCTTTGTCAAACAAATCGGAAATCGGGAAACAAATGTTGGACAATAAGTAAGACATTGTTCCATGTATTTGTCCGACTGATATCTAGAACAGAGGATTATATGATCACTTATCTTAAATGGCGTACCATCATCTTCTCAAGTTTCGAGAAACCTTGTAAAGAGCTACGATTGCCGATCGGTTCCTGAAGTCATACTTGCAGTAATAGTTACTAGACTTATCCAAGTGGGAGACTGTTGGATAAGGTGTCTAAGTCCATAACTATTTCTGGTATGTACTTGACCCGACCCGGCATGGTCCATTTGGGTTGCATGGCACCATGCAATTGGATAGACTAAATGAGAGAAATAACGCTTGGAGATTATTAATATATTATAAGTTCTAATATATTAATAATATTATTTGATTAGTTTGATCAAGAATTAATTTAGAATTAATTAAGTGATCAAAAGATAACTAATTAAATATATGGGTTGATTAAGTAAATCATCCATATCTTGTATAGTGGGCTAAAAGGCTCCATGGATCATCAAGTTGGGTTCCACCCATAGGATGCTCCATGGATGCTCCATGGGAGTTACAAACCCATGGGTCATGGAAATGAAGAGTCATGACACATTAGGGTTTAACCCTAGATGTGTCAACACTATATAAGTAACATGATCTCCTCCCAAATCGGCGACACACTAAGTAATAGAGGGCTTGGCCGTTTTTTTTGTGAAGTGTGTATTCTCTCATAAGTTCTTCCAAGAGCATTTGGTGTTGTGTGAAGCATTTGAGGCATCACACTTGGGGTGCTAGGCTCACAAGGTTTCAAGGAACACAAGCAACAACAAGGTAAGTTATTCTATCTATACTTTATGTTAAAATTGTTCCCCATGTATGCTAGATAGGAATATAACCTTGGAATTCAACTTTGCATGACAAATTAGACAAACATAGATCCAAGGTTATTAGGGTTGCATGTACACTTAGGAAGTGTTAGAATGCTCAAAACCCATCAATTATAACAGTTAAAAGCATAATATTCAAACTTAGAACATTGTTTTGTCCTCGGTAACACTCCACAGAGATACGCAAGTGGAGGATAGTCATTTGATACTTCAGTATTATTACTAGTAAATTTGTTATTCCTATAAATTGGAGACACGTCCTCGGAGAACACTCCACAGAGATACGCGAGTGGAGGACCGCCCCCGTAACCAGAATCTCTTAGATAGGGAGCGTGACTTGAGTGTATAGATCTATACGAGGCTAACTACCCCGCACCTGGCTGCTAGCTACAGTCGAACCGAAAGGTTTAAGGGTGATGAAAGTCATAAAGTGAGATGGACTACTTATTGCCATAGTTAGTCTATAGTATGGTTATGGAACTCACAATTTGGATAACAAAGATTTGCTTTTTAGTAATAATGGGTTTAGTAACTAGTTTACTTTGTATTTATTAGTTTTATATACGTGTTAAAACTAATACATTTCAGTATACATCTTTCACATTAGGAAAATATGGGATTTTCCTGGGATAACAATTGAACATAACCAGAACCGTGCAACATGACAGTTAACCAAACATTACTTTTAAGAAAATATGAGATTTTCTTGGGTCGTAACATTTTCAGAAACCAAAAAGGAAACTTGTACATTTTCATAAAACAAAACTGCTTATGAACTCACCAACTTTATGCTGATTTTCAAACTGCTTGTATTCTCAGGTCCGCATTAGACAGGTAGCCGAAGATCCATTTGTCGAAAACGGAGCACATCGAAGACACGTCTTGCTTTTGTTTATATATACATATGTATAACACTGTACAACTTTACTTTTGAACAAATGTAAATTTCATATGTAATGTAATGGTTGTTTACTCTGCTTACTATGTGCATTGGATTTGATACTCAACGTGGAGTCCGCCCCGGAAATGTTTCTACCTTGGTTTTCGGGGTGTGACAGCGGGTCCTGCTTTGTGCTGTAGGCCAACATACCCGGGGAGGACTGGATATCCCGAAGGCCCATCGAGCGGTCCGGATAGGTTGTAGGCCCCATGAGGGCAGACCAGACGTGTCGAGGATCAGAAAGTGGACCAGGCCGACTGAAGGCCCGACGTGGGCGGACCAGTCATACTGTAGACTCAAAGAGTGGACTAGGTGGGTTCAAGGCTTGGTGCGGGCGGACCAACCACATTGCAGACTCGATGTATGTTGCTAGACTTGGAGGGTGGACCAGGTGGACTAAAGGCCCGGTGTGGCGGACCAGTCACACAGTAGACCCGAAGTGCATGGTTGTTATGTTTATGATATGATATGTTATGTGTATGGTATATGTGGTTGGTATTTTGGGGGTAACTCACTAAGCTTTCGGGCTTACACTTTTCAGTGTATTATTTCAAGTACTTCAGGAGATCGTGGCAAGGCAAAGGTGTGATCGTACCGCTCCTCATGTTTTATGTGTTTATGATGTGGTTTTGGGAAATACTCTAATAATAAATGAATTGAAAACCTTTTTGTAATGAATTAATGAATATGGGTTGTTTTTGAAAATTTTAAATTGGTTGAGAAAATTTGGATGTTAAATTTATAGCTTAGAAATCACAAAGAAACACAAGATCAAAGGAGTTTACGGCCAAGACATGTTCTTGGGCCGTAAACCCCTATAATTGGGGCAAATTGCACCCTAGTCCCTTACCAAGCCTTGGAACTTAGTCTAGAACCATACCCCATTTAACTTGGGACTTCAAGCAATGAAATGGTACTTCATACCATGAGTTTACGGCCTTAAACTCATGGGAGAAGTGGTCCCCCGGCCGTAAACACAAGTTGAGGTCATTTATGGACCTTAAACTCACCTAGCCTCTTGTTTAAGCCTTGGAACACTTAACCACTTAAGACACCTTGCCTTTAAGCCTCAAATGGAGATCCATTAGAGAGTTTACGGCCACGAGTAAACTCCCTTGGGCCTTAAACTCCATTAAGTATGGGCCATTGACCATAAACTCACTTACAATGCCTTGCACTCCTTTGTTGCAACCTAATGGCCTCCTAACACTTTTACCAAAGTGTTTTCCATGCCTTAGATTGTTTATACTTGTCTAATTAGTGTTATAATCACTAATTGTGTGTGTGTGTGTATGTATATATATACATATACATATATATATATATATATGTATATATATATATATGCATATATATATATATATATATATATATATATATATATGTATATATATATATGTCTTTATATGTTATTAGGATCATTGTGTGTGTTTAAGTCTTCACTTAACAACAAGCACTTATCCGACACTTCCATACGATCCACTCAATGCAGGTGAGTTCATACCCCTTAATTAACCTTTTAAATGTTTATAAATGCTTTTTATGGGGGGGGGGGGGGGATACAAGTTGAATCATGCTAATTATTATATCAATCACATGTGATTAATAACTAGCATACAAATGGATTTACTATACTTTTATCTGTTTTACCAAACATATTACTTCAAATGACTTTCTCAAATGTTTTTAAATGTTAAAACTCTTTATTAAACTATCCTACATGTTGTATGTTTCCTTTCAAACTCTGTTACAATTGTGTTTCAAACAAAGGTTTTCCGTATACTTCAAATTGTCTTATCAAACAAACTACACTACTAGAAAAAAGGCCTTTTACGACGCGCAAAATACGACGCTCATTGATCTATGTTACGCAAAGGAGAGTGACATTAGAAAAATGTCATCTCTTCAAAAAATTTAAGGATAGAAGACACGCATTATTGCGCGCCCTTAAATTAGTGTCTAAAAAAAAACACGGAGGGCACCTATGATAAAATGCGCGTCGTCTAAGGATGTCGCTTTATAATTTTTAATGGAACGCGCGTTCCATCCTTTAACAGTAGGGGGAAATGAAATTCTGAAAAAATTAAAAATCCCGCCTTCCTATTTTTTCTCCTTTCCCTCTTGCCCAAATTATGGACGCCCCTTCCTTCCCCCTTCCCACATTGACTGTTGCCTACTTCTTCCCTCACTTCTACCTACGGGAACCACCATATCTCCCACTCGATGTTGAAATTGTTAGAAAAAGCCCTAATTATACTCTCAAGTCTAAATACAAAAAAAATAGAAGATGGTGAAGAAGTAGCAGTAGAGGAAGTGGAGGATGAACAGTCGAAAATGGAAGGAATGGAATCAATAGCGTTGTTACTAGATGGGTCAATCTTGGGTCATTTTGTTCAGCTTCCCAAGTCCGTTTATTACCAGATGGGTCAATCTCGTCTTTTCGTCTCGACTTCATATCTCTCTGTAAAGCAACCGACGACCCCCACACCACCATCTGCAATCCTTTTAAAGCAACTCGTCTTCCTGTACCTTGATCTGCACTCTCTCTCCCTTATCTTTTCAAGCCCTAAGCCGCCATCACCAGCATCGAAACCCATCAGCTCTAAGCGGCCATGGAATCTATAAAGAGTGTTTGTCTCGTATGTTTTTATCAGCGCCATCAGACACTAATCTTCTCTATCCACTATGTCGCAAGTCTCCATATGCTTTCCATCAGCGCAATTCAACGAAAAGAACTAGGGCTTTGAACCACTTCTCAATAAATTGTTCAGAGAGATCCAACAGCTCCTCTCACGCAAAACACCTTCGATTAAAGGTTATGTGACTCCTTACATCAGCGCCATTCGATTGAAGCTATTTTAGCAGATTCCGATCGCCTTCAATCCAAACTCCAATCAAAAATAGCATCTCGCATGTCTTCTCAGCTCTCCACTCCTCCATTTCGCTGGGGGGCCTGGTACCATCAATTTCAAATTGCACTTCATCTAATGCTCTTTGATTTCTTTTGGATCTGAATTCAAATTCCGTGTTCTTCTTTGGCAATTTGGAGGTGAAATTTAGGTTGTATTACAGGAGAGTAGAGGAAGGGAAACAATATCCATTACTCTGTAGGAGATTAGCTAGCCTAAACGAAGAGTTCATTTCACATAAAAGTCCAACAGGTGGGTTCGATTTCATCTCCAGGAAGAGGATTGAACAAAAACTCATCGATTATAATCAAGAAGCAGAAAGATTTGGGGTAATTCCAATTCCAGTATCATTTCAACATCTTTCAATGATCTCTAATTCTCTTCCACTTCATTTAATCTATTAACATGACTTCATTTAGGTTATGCATATGAAGAGGTAGCAGAAGTCTCACCTGGTCATCGATTCATTGCATACATCATGTATGACAAAGACAACAATTTCTTCAAATTATGTGTTAGAGATTTGAATTTAGGTTCTCTCTGTAGTAAGCCACAAGCTGATTGGGTCTGTAATGTGGCATGGGCTAAAGGGGGTCAAGGCATATCTGTATCATGAGGTTTTTTTTTCCTTCATATCAGTTGGCTCTAAAATGAGCTCTAAACCCTATATTTTATTTGTTTGAGAAATTTTGATTTGATTGTTGTTCCAGTCCCAAGCTGCTTGTTTCAAGAAAGCGAGAGATGATCTATACAAGGTTAAAGCATGGGTTTTCTCTCCACAAGTCAAAGTTATTAGGTGTTAGTGGGTCGAGTTGAAAATGGTCAAAATCCATAGAAAAGAACTAAAAAAAAGTTGATTTGGCTGCTGAAGAAGCTGACATTCGTGAGGAAGATGTGTTGAAGGAGAAAGATGCTTTTGAGGATCTTAAGAAGCTGGCAGCCAAGTCACTGACTGAGACAGTTAATCAGTTGATTGACACTGTTAATCAGGTGAGAATCATATCTTTTTTTTTATTTATAATGCTTTAGAATTTGTTTGAGGGGTAAAATAGTAATTTTGTTTAATTTCGATTTTTAGGTGAAGGAGGATGAAAATGCCGAACAGGCGACCCGACCATCAAGAGTCACTGATGCGGTCAAACATCGGGCGACCCGACCACAACAGATGACGTGAGGCATTGGATCGAATTCTTGAAACAAATAACTTCCCAGAGTTCACGGGCAAGGTTTGCCCCGTTCCATGTGAAGGTTCATGTGTGTTGGGTATAATTGAGAACCCGATCTCCATCGACTGGTTAGTTTTCTTAAATTTATTTTTGAAAAAAAAATACCCGAACATATGTTAATAAAATTAAAAATTATACGTTGTTTAGGGACAAAATCAGTCTGGTGCACCTCTTAAAGCTGCAGACAATGTTATTATCTCACAGCATCAGCATGCAGCAGCCTCTCAAATTCAGGCAAGAGAAACCGATATACATGCACTCTCATTGAGTAAAAACGAGACAGGTGTCCCCATGTGATGAGATTAAGCTTTCTTTTAATCTATGAAGATCGATTAGATCTTGAACAAGTATGTAAATAATGACGATATGGACACAATAAAAGAACAGAACAAGATTGAATCAAATGAGTCGAATGATTAAAACAAAATCCTCAGAAGAGCTCGATTAAGAACATCAACTGTAGAGGATTGGAAGGTTACAAGAACGATCAAAGAAACCTTTTGTCGTCTGGAAAAATCGTATTCTCAGATCTCTAAAACCTTAACCTAATATGCATGCAAGCATTAGCTTATATACAAAGCATAAAAGACTCACGGTTGGACAGGCCCAAACCGGAATATAAATAAAAGCATAAACAGATGAGCCCAAAAGACGCAATCTTCAAAGCCCAACAATCTCCCCCTTTGCGTCAATTTGGGGCGAGACATTCACTCTCTTTTCAAAGCAGATGACTTCTTAACCGTTTCAAAAATTTCGGTATCAAAGCCAGAATATGATGCCTGAAGGTAATATACCAACGAAGCATATCTGTAAAGTTCTTTTTATCTGCTGTTGAGTTCTGTTTGCATCGGTGAATGATATTGATGATGTGCTCCAGACACTCTGTAGAGAACAGATGCTTGTCTACCAAAGCAAACAGAAACTTGTGCTTGTCGCCCCTGGTGAACATAACCGTCAGATTGGAAGAATCGATCTGCCCCAACTTCATTTTGTGAACATCTCCAGTCTTGGAAGTGGGCTTGACAGTTGGTTTCTTGTTCATCACTTTTGCTATTTCCTGATCCATAGTGGCGAGCTCATGGACGTAGGAAGCCAACATTCTTTTAAGATGAGAAAGAATTGGTTCATATTCTCTCTGGTTGGAGAGAAGAATGTTGTATAGCAAGATCCAATCGTGTGGGTTCAGACTGGGAAGATCTGCCAGAGAAATAAGATGTTCGGTGTTGGCCGTTCCTCTGTTGATTTTGAAATTGACGTTCACAAATCTCCCAGCCTGGGTTGGTTTCAGTACCTTGACTTTAATAATTTTCTGGGCACTCCAAGTCAAGTACTGTGGTTGACCGAATTTCAGATAGAAATCGATGAGCTCTCTGTCAACCTTCGGGTTTGGATGAGGGACATTAGCAGTGACATCAAAGCAGTGAAATGTGAAGGCTTTACGCGTAATGGGCATGTCGAACTGCGAGTCTCTAGAATTTTCACACTCAAAAGATGCAATCGGTTCCAACCAGTAAATAGAAGGAAACTCAATCGCTTGAGTGATGAGTGTGTCTCTGTCCCAATCTGGGAACAGAGTCTTTTTAGCTTGAATAGCCTCCTCATCCTCCCGGATTTTCCTTTCTCTGGCCTCTGCCTCACGAGCTATTTTCAAGGTTTCATCAAGCTCTCTGTCCCTTTTCTTGCGTTGAAGAGCTTCAGTAATGGTTTCATCTGATTCTGATTCGCTCTCAACAAGGACTTGTTTACCAGAACCCGAAGCTACATTACCCTTCGGTTCTGTTTTGGACACACCTTCCTCTCCCCCTTGTCTCGGAAGAACAAGCTTCTCCGAGACACCCTTCATTTCACTTAAGATTGTAATTGCAGGAAGGAGTTTTGCCTGGAGATGCTGACGAATAGTGAGGGTTAGGAAGGGATCATGGGAGTCAAGAACGCCTGTTAACATATTTTTAACGTCACCAGCGCAACTTTGAAGAACTGCCCGCTGAGTTTGAAGCAAAGTGATTTCTTGTTGTGCCTGGGCCAGTTGAACCTTCTGTAAGTCAATAGTCGCCTGGTGTTTGATAAGTTCTTCCTTCAGGGTGCTCTCGGCTGCCAGAGAGGCAAAACGTGAATCCAAAGATTTGAGGAGAGAAGTGGATTCAGTTTTGAGGTCAGCACGCAGAGCCTCAAATTTCCTGGTTTCTCCCTGAAGGGTGGCTGAAAACGAGTCTACTGACGCTTGAAATTTGGAAGCATTAGAGTCAGCATGAGCCTTGAGAGAATCAAGAAAGATCTGAGTTGTATGAACAACCTCAGAAACTTCCTTAGTGGCTTTGGAGCACGAGGCCGCTGAATTCTCTACGGCGTCAGTAGAACGATCCAAGGCTTCGGTGTAAGTCTGGATCGCTGACTCGATAAAGGCCTTCAGCACAGCACCCCCATAGGCTTTACTGTCAGCCAGCAGACTGTCAAGTTTGGCATGAATTTCTTGAAGCTGCTGACTTGACGCAGGGGTATCTGCATCGGTGTCGGTAGGAATCCGGTAGGGGCTGTAATAGATGGAATCGAAGTCTTCATCATCACCCCCTAAGGTAGCACCGGAGTTGGAAGATGGAGAAGGGGTGGATTGAAGGTTGATGACAGGGGTTTCAACCACAGAAGCAGCCCCCGTATCAGATACGTTGACCGTTACTGGTGGTTGGGTAGTGGTGATGGTGACGGATTCGGTGATAATGGGCTTGGAGATGGAGATGAAGGTTGAGAAACGGAGAAGGGAATAGTATGTTCGGTTGTGGTTTGGGGAATTGATGTTGGAACAGAACTTGTGACGTTCTGTTGGGTGATTGGGTTGGGGTTGGAAATTTTGGGGAAGTAGGAGGAGAAGGTGATTTGGTAATTTGGGGAGATTTAGGTGGGGAGGGTGAGTTGGGAATACGAGGAGAGACTGGGGGGATGGTAGTTGTGGAGACGAAACGGGTGTAGTTTCGGGTTGAGGATCAGCAGCGTCTGTTTCGGATGGTGCATTCGGTTCGGATTCAGAAGAAGGAGATCCTTTGGCTCTTTTAGCCATCTTCTTGACCTTTTTCGATCTGGACTGAGAAGGTGCCTCTGCCTCGGATTTGCGTTTGGAGGACCTTCTCTTTTTCTCCTTTTGGGGTGCGGTTTCTTTCTTCTCCGCCTTCTGCTTTTTGCTCACTCTCTTGCCCCGGTTAGCAGGCTGATCCAGAGCCTCAAGAGCAGCACGTTGTTCATCAGAAAGAACCCTAGGAGGCAGGGGGTCCTTGAGCTATAGTCCGCCATGATCTTGCTGTGGGGTGTGACGCATCTGTACATGGACTCAGGGATTAGTCCATAGTGCTGAAACTTACTTGGATCTGAGACTATTATTTTCTTGGTGTGGAAAGTGGCAATTGAAGCCGTAAGAACATCCTTCATTACTGGGATGTCGAGAGAAGTAATAGCCCTTCTGGTGATAAGGGTCCAAAACCTGGCGCAAGAAATCTCGGAGTGCCGGGCTGTAGTGTTGAGACTCTGAACCACTTGAGCCCAAATAATAGACCCATAGTCTAGATTAATGCCATTGTAAAGACCGTACAGGATTGTTAGAAATCCTTTGCTTGTGGTGTCGGAACCACCACATCTCTCCGCCAAACCCTTAATCAAAAGGGTAAGCAATCCGTTCCACTGAGATGGAAGACAGGATTTCTTGACTTTGGCAATAGATGTTAGAACATCTGTATACCCCATCTCGTACATCATCGTAAAGATCTGGGCGGTGGTGATGAAGTCCGGTGAGATGACAGAGGAGTCGACGGCAAGCCCTAGAAGAGAGCAAAACCGTGTTTTGGATACGGAAGTCTTCTTGTCGTGAATAGAAAAGAAGATGCGGTCTTTGTGCCTGTCGTAGCTGGCCGTGGTGTAGACTTGGGAGAGCAGGGACATTGGGACGGCCTCCACTTGCGTAAGTGCTAATAACAATGGGGAATATTTGAGACATTCCACCACGTATAGCATGTATGAGTCATAGAGGAATGGAGACATCTCTATGATCATGTTCTGATTTGGTTTGATTGTGAGTAGAGAAGAAGATGCAGATTGATCGTGAGCGGAAGAAGAAGTCGCCATTGTTGAGTTTTGGAAGAAGATGAACAGTGGTAACTTTTTCAGAGAAGTAATGCTTTGAGAGGTAACTGCCAAAGAACACGATCACGTCTTATTTATACCGTTCTCAGGAGAGAGAAAATCGTGATGATGAGGAACCCAAAACGTCGCCTGAAAAAGCGCGATTAGAAGTTATGGTGTATCCCAGGAATACGTCAGCACACGTGGGTGTGAAATGAATCCTTTGCACGCGCCCAAATCTTTTTCGTACCGTTTGAAATTCCTTGTGCCCTTGTTTGGTTACAACTGAAACTTAGAACCATGTGCCAAACAGCAATTAGAATGTTGGGAAAAAAAATTCCGTGCATAAGAGTGTGAAAGACAAGGAAATAAATCAAATGTGTTTGGAAGTGGGTGTTGTCTAGATAGAAGACAGAAAGCAGAAGATTCCGGGCAAGAATCGCTTCCTTCAGAGCCAAGAGAGACCTGAAGTGTTTGTGTGGTTTCCCGAGAAATACGATCAGTTGTCTTTAGAGAAACAGTGAAAGGCATCTTTTGATGATGGCTAAAGGGTGGCTGAACTCAAACCAAACATTAAGTCTTGACATAAAACTGAGTGTTGGTAGAGTTACCTGTGAGACCGATGTGATCTGTTGAACAGGTAGGTAGGAAGTATTTCGTGATAGGAATGATATAGACAGAAATCTCAAAAAAAATTAAACTGGACCTCTTTGGGAAGAAATGTCTTAGGACGAGACAGTTTCATAAAAGATCACTCATAAAGAAAAGGAGATTTCCAAGTAAAAGCTTGAGTTAATTACTCACCGTCAATTCATTTTAGGTGTTGGATTTTGGGTTTCACTCA